TACGGGGTGGTGATGGCGCAATGGATAAGATGCCCAGGTTCAATCCCCCACTGTGACCCATCCACCATTGTGTCCCTGAGCAAGACACTTAACCCCTTGTTGCTCCAGAGGCGTGTGACCTCTGACATGTATAGCAATTGTAAGTCGCTTTGGATAAAAGCGTCAGCTAAATGAATAACGTCTGCACCACTTTGAAAAGTCTTCTTTGCCATCTCCCATGAAAACATGTAGAAAACCTCCCTTACAATGTGGCACATTAGAGCCAGAAAAGGGCAGTTCATTCCAAAAGTTATTTTGAGTGGCCATGGTTAATTCCAGAAACCACGTTTTAATTTTTTTTTGGTAATTTTTCGTGTGTAAAGTTCAGAAGAGGGTTTTGACAATTACCAGTCTTAGCTTGATGTGCTAGGCAAGTCCATCTTGAGGTTACAGTATCCAGAGTAGGATGTGAACAACCTTTCCATACACGCGTCCCGCGCAAACAAGTTCACAAGCAGGCCTCCAACAAGTAGACTGATCATCCACGGAGAGCAGTAAAAAATAAATAAATAAATAAATGCCACTTTGCCAGTCTCTGTTACTCACATATGTTGTCTTTTGATGTTGTCTTGGTGAGTAAATGTCCAACAAAGGCCGTTTTATTCCACCAGTATCCAACTGAGTAACTAGTTCAGCTAAATCTAGCTTGTAGCAGGAGCAGTCCACGATGAGGAAAAAAAAGAGAACGTGTCGTGGTAGCACATGCAGCTAACTCGTTAATCCCCGGCAATACTCGAAAGTCCGCAAAAGTTGCAGACCACACATCCGCTGCCACCAGTGTAACGCCGAACCTTTCTTGTGGCGTTAACTATGTAGTGCTGGGTAGATGTGGGTAAAATAAGAGCAGGGGACAACTCCTTTAGGAGAACTGCGTCCACTTGTTTAATGATCCATCACACGCCCGCGACCGCGGAACACACACAACAAACACTGTCAAAGATCACCATGTAGTTCCTGTTACAGCTCAGAAACAAAATACAACATATGTATATAGTTAACATTAATTAAATTATGCAACTTATTTCCGTAAATGGAGTCATCTATAAAATAAATCTTAACAAAATAAATCTCATCTTACAGTAACAAAGAATGGTGAGCTTCAACTAATGATTGTTATGGATGAATCTCCCAGTTATCTTCTCAATTAATTGTTTACTAGTTTGGTCTATAAAATCATTACATCTTCAAATCACTCATCATTTTGTCAGACCAACAGTCCAAAACCCAAACTTCTTCAGTTTGCAATTACATAAGATAAAGAAAAGAATCAAAGCCTCTCATTTGAGAAGCTGCACCTATTAATGCTCTGTATTTTTGCTAGGAAAAAATTATTCAACATTTATCAAAATAGTTACCAGTTAATTTCCTTTCAAATAATTGCTTCATCTCTAGTGTGTTGGACAGCCAGTGGCATGACAGAAGAAGTTTTACTATTGCTGCACTGTTAACAAGACACTATGGCAGCATAAAGTTATAGACTTAATAGACTCCCACTTAATACAACAACAGTTAAACCAAATAAGTACTTTTAAATCAGTTTAATGGACTTTTCTGGAGCGACTCCTTTCCTCAGTGTGGCACTATGAGATTGTTAAAAGAGATGCTAAAAATATTCCATGACAGACAAGTGTACCATTTATTGCCATCTTGTAAATATTGACTCATATCCTTTGCTTTTGACTCCCTGGCTCTTCTGGCAATAAAAACATCTTGCTCATATTCTGTGATTTTACTATCAAGATTGTAAAGACATAAAAATTGTAAATAGAGGTAGGCAAATAATGGAAATAATGGGTACTTCTAAAGATGAAAGCCTGCAGTATATGTGCTTTAAAAAATATATGTGATGCTAACAGCACACATACACACATCCATACTGTAGAGAGGGTGTATTCTCAGGTTGCACGATGAAAAACCTTCTCACTCCACCCCTGTTAAACTTACCAGATGACACAAACTGGAGGACCTTTTTGGCTTCCATGCTCTCCAGGTTATTTAGGTGAGACGCATACCAAAGGTCAACCCATCATCATTCTCTGCTCCCAAATGCTCTGCACTCACTGGTGATCTCTTCTCAATATCTTGCCATACACACACACACACACACACACACACACACACTGAGGTAAAATCACCTCCTCCAGCAGCACATGGGTTTGAGGGTGGAAGTGGGAGTGCAGGAAAAGAAAGTATGGGCTTGAAAGGGGGTGTTTGTTTCTGCTGGGTCCTTGTGCCTATGACTACATACTATGGGTAGCTTAAAATAAATAAGTAAGTGAACTGAGTTTGGTGTTTTGGTAGCAGCAAGATTTATAGCTCTTGAGTCAGCACAAAATTAGGAACTCTTTTTCTGTCTTGTGGTCTTGTCCCTTTTTTTCTCTTTATTATGTTTGTTAATTCATATTTGGGATCTTGATGTTTGGATTTTGTTGTTTACTTATTTACTTACAACTGTTTAATGTTGATATGTGATGTGTTTGGTGTATTGTTGTGTGTTTCTGGAAAAATAAAGTGCTTTGAATTGAATTTGATCCTATGAGAGTTGGTTAGATACAGTATATATGTTTCAGTTTTATTTTTCATTTAAGTGTTTTCTGGGTGGGAAGGAGTTTGATTTTATGGGTGAAAATGAGAGAGAAATGGGGTAAATATTTTACTTAGCTTACTAAATGTTTCAAAACTTTCAAGAAGGGAATCTGAATAAAACATTGTATTTATTTATTTATTAAACATTTCATTATTTCAGTTATTATAGCATTTTCATTATTTATTATGTTTATGTTTGTATAAAAGTGGTGTTACAGCTATACGTTAAAGGTACATTGTGAAGTTTTATTGTAAACAAACAAAATTCAGTTTAGACTGAAATACAGCAAATGTTTTGTATCCTTTCCACCTATATATAAACTTGTTGAATAAATGTCCTAACGTCTAAAACATTTGTGGAGCAGATCTTTAGAAGAATTTTAAACATACATTGTTTCCATCCACATTTGTTAGTTTGCAGTCTTCTACTTTCTTGCCTGTGTCATCACATAGCTGCATTTCTTGGCACATTACTGCCATCGATTGCCAATCAGAGGAATAGTATGAAGCGATCTGTAAGACTATGTATTCAGCTGCGTCAAGATACAAAGACAAAAGCAACTCATTCAAAAAAAAACAGACATTTAACTATATTTTCAATTATTCTCACAGTAGACACTAAGGAGGGTAAATGTCAATCTTTCACTTATTCACACTCGTTTTTCTATGTACATACAGTATTTATTTCAATGATTCATCTTTCCCTCTGACATCATGTTTGTGCAGATGTCTGTGAAATCTTCATAACTGCTGCAAACCCTAATAAATGCACTATGTGAGGAACAAGCAACACTCTGCCCTGTCAGGCTTCATCAAGAATAGACGTGTGAATTAGCTGAAGCCAGATGCAATGACAGACGCAAACAGATCTGGGGAAAAAAAGAAACAAAAAACGCTGTTTTAGGCTCAAACTAAAGACACACTGCCCCCAGCAGTTAGACCACAACTCACTGTCAGACCTGCTGCTCGGGGCAATTGAAAAAGGTAGAGAATTACTATTACTACCTATTAGCTGATAAACAAGGGGAATAGCAACGTAAATATGCATCTTTGTCTTGTGTCATTCATGACCTAATAGTGCTAGTTGCAAGATACTTGGCACAAAAAAGGCAAGTAACAGACAAAAAGTCATGAACAACAACAATAAGATTCAGCACTTTACCTGGCAAGATAGAAAGTAGTATGCACATTAACATAAACAAGCAATATTCAGCAATCAATTATTACATCAGTTAAAAATCAACCAATAAGTCTCCTAATCATAACATCTAGCATTTTGTTCTTAAGTGTCTTATATAATTCTTGATTCAGAGTAAAACATGAACTACTTTGCTATTGATTTACTAGCTGTTACTTCCTGATTCATTCATTCAAATCTACCCAGGAAATTATGTACTTTATAGTACTACTTTTACCCATATACCATTATTAATAATACTTTGACCTATATATTACTTTTCAATAAAGAATCACAACTTTTCCCAGCACAACAATTTTCCAGACAGATACATGCGATGACCAGACAATGGAAACACCATAAGGTGCCACTCTCTAGCAGGCATGACAAACTGAATGCCTGCTTGTTCTTTTTCTAAACGTTACAAGCCTACAACCCTGAAAGGGTCATCAAAAGCAGTTACAGGTGCTCAGTAAACTTTTATTTCATACAGACCAGCTTGAGTTTTGATGGGTGGGTGGATGCAAACAAAATTAACCAAGTTTCCACCGCAGATAAGTAAGCTTCTTAAATTTTGGTGTAAAAGAACTGGGACACTGTTCCCTTCATCTGCCATGAGATGGCAGCAAAGTCTATTGTTCAGAAACAAAAAGGCACCAGGGATGAGGACTGAGGATTTAATAACAAGAAATTGTTTTTTTTTTCATGTTGTATACTCACTTAAAGGTCTCACACTTCCCCACTGGAGTCCCCACTGGATAGAAGTGTTCTTGGTGAAAAAGCCCAATTAAACGTTTGACAATGAAACTGAACATAATGGAAACACATCGTACTCCAAAGTGCACCTTGTTTGTCAAAGCAATTTGTACTTTTCTGTTTCTCTTTATGTTCCTGTTTGGTGATTGCAAATGCTTTGGAGCTGCTGGAGACAGAACCTCTTTGGTTGTTCATTCCAAATGTCTCTCATCTGAAACAGAGTCATAGCTGCGGTATTTTGAGGACCAGTGCACAATGAAAAAGCAGCCAATAATAGCTTCATCTTCTTTAGGATAATTCTATGTGTGAAAACAAGTTATTTGCTGGTATAGTACAATTATCACATCTAGTGCTCCCACAAAGAAAAGAACAAACACTAATGATCTTTCACAGATACTATTGTGACTCAGGTCTGACTTTGATACAGTTTTATGACCCTTACCTTCAGCAAAATGATTCAAAGTGACTCCTGAAATCTCCTCGGTTTCCTTGTTGGTCTTCATCGAGATGGAACTCTTGCAGTGTACACAAAAATCTGATATTTCGGATATGGCAATGGGAACTCTGTACAGAGCTGATAATAATGTGATTTAATAATGTGGTTCCTGTGTGGCAGTCGCAGCATGAATGAATTGTCTTGCAGGCAGGCCCACAAGTAGATGGGAATGGGTAACCACCAATGAATAACAATATAATGTCCTGGGTGCCAATCACAATGAAGCTGACAGTCCTAAATGTAATATGGAAGATGAAGGTGGGCTTTGGGGAAAGAGGAGACAAAGAGAAGGGAGAGGAAAGTGTGAGGAACCTATGTGTAACCCTTGCTGGGACTCTTTGACATTTTAATGTAACTAATAATTCTTTAAATATTGGAGGAAGAAGATCAAATGCTGATTACTTTCTTACCTCCACACAGCTGGCCAATCACTGCATGAAGTGGATGTAAATATTGGACTGTAAGCTTTTTAAAGTTATAGAAATTGACTGAAAGGCTTACCATTAAAAATTTCTCCAAGCCTAAATTGATAACCCAGATGACATCATCATGATTATATTCTCAGACTTGACAAATCTCCTCCAGAGCTACAGAAGACATTTTACAACTGATAGTACTCTCCATTATGACTAAACAGATCTTCGTGTGTAAAATTGGTTGAGTGCCCCTTCAAGCCATCTCTTTACCTCATCTTGAATTAGCTGTTTTGTTGTATTTCTATATCTGTAATACCTTGATACCAGAAGGGAGTCTTTACATCTCTGCCCAGCAGTGAGGTACAAAAAAACACTGGTGGGTCAAGGTGGTGAGTCATGACTGATGGACACAGCAAAAACTTATATGATAAAGAAACAGACCTTGGTAGCACTTGATGATAGGGCATATTTTATTTATATTGTTGTATGCAGTGTTGTTAATTTTTAAATAAAGATGGTGCAGTCTTTAGAGGATTTGTGTAATACAGCCTCAGTAACAACAACATGGGAACCATTTTGAAAGATTAAAAGAAAAATATTAACACAGCAGGTCAGGTACATATTAAAGTTGCAGTAGACGAGATTTCATGTTACACTGATTCTACTCCAATATGCAGTCCACAGGAATTCACAGCAATCATCTACTTTCATGTGTAATCTGTCACTTATTGTGTCAGACAAAGATCACATGCATCAGAGTAAATGCACATTCCCACGACATAATATCTCTTTTCTACTCAACTCAAATCCATCTTGCACCTCAGAAATATGTTTAAGATAACTATTGCTTGAACTTACTAATTTAAAAAAAGGGGGCAACATTATTCAAATGAGTCAAATGACTCTTGTGCTCTTCGTGGCACAGTCCATATTACAAATTTTCGAAATTGCATTGAATGCAATTGCAACAACAGTGACACAAATTACTAGATATCCAAACACCTCGGAGCCTAATTCATAGATACTGTTGTTGTTGTTTCCGACCACCAGTGGCAACACTGAGGCCAAGCTGTGCAGTCGAAGGTCCAATGCATGAGAAAGGAAGAAACTATGTGCCAAACTGTTGCAGGGGAGTTGATCCATCCTGTAGCGGGTATGTATTTTCAACGCTGGTCCGATAAGCAACTTTTATTAGCATTGAATGTATGTTATGGGTTCTTCACTTGGGTAGAAATCTAGGACCTTGACAGATCGTATGATGTTTATTATTTAGGGAGGGACAGGTGTATTTCGAAACATGTTCTTTATCTGTGAAAACACTTGTCAGGTTCAACTTCTGAAGTAACCATCTATGGCAGGGGTCAGCAAATAAATCTGGCATCGTATTACATGGCGGTCCAGAACATAATCAGATTATTTGAAACCCTTACTCATGTGTAGCCTACTAGTGTGCAGGATTCCCGTTGGAAGAGTTGGAAGAGTTGTACATCCTACAGATTTTTTCTCCCTTGTTAAACAAATTGATTATTAGGACACTTTTGCAGATGCTCACAACAAAGCATGTGCTGCAGTGTGTGTGTGCGTCCCAGCGTTTGATCCGCATTTGTAAACCTATGAACCTTAATTTCATTTCCCTGAGGAAATTCAGGGGAATCCAATCACACGTTTACCGTCTTGAACATAATGTCGCTGCCGATTTTAAAGTCTGAAATGGCGACAAACTTCAAAACTACTTGCTTGTATATAAAAGGTTCAGAAGATACTCTCCTAAGGTAAGACCATACTTGTAGTCATTGTGACGTCACCCGTTGGTTTGTGGACTGCCGTTTTGAAGCCTCGAGTTTGGCCAATAGGGCACCTACATGTTGAGTTTTTGCAACCAACGGCACCAGACGTGACGATATCTGAACGAGACGGTGGCGCTAATGACCGTGTGTGGAGCTAGCTAGCTTACTTAGCTCGCTGCTTATAGTGCACACTACAAATAGGCTACAGTTAAGAATAAAACAAGCATCTGTAAATCTGTCATTTTGACAGGGCTAAAAATTATTTTATTAAACTTTAACGTCTTAAAACTAAATGTACTCATCAGAGAAAGTGATCAGCCAGCTCCTAACAAGCTTTTTCAATGGCGCTGGTTAAATTTACACAGTGCCATGGGTAGGAGTCTGACTCTAGCCTGATTGACAGGTCACCGTGGTACTTTTTACTATTCTATTCATTTACTAAATGAACATCATGTTGTATTGAGGAAAAGATAAAACTAGTGATTGAAACCATAAACACAATAGGAAAGTGTTACTTAGGTAGTAATAAATCAGCTGAGAAGCAGTGGGGTGGGGTGGGGTAAATTTTTGGGGAAGAGGTGATGTCCTTTTTGGAGGGCAATTATCTAATGTATTGTGCTTTTGCAGTGCAGGGTATAATTTTACACAAAATTGAATCATACTTTAAAGATGCGCACCAATACACAAGCTGAAAGTTGCATTTACCGACATACGCATTCATAGCCCACTGCTTATAGTGCACACTACAAATAGGCTACGGTTAAGAATAATAAAAGCATTCACAAGCTCATTTAGAAGACGACTGAAGACATTTTCATGGTAGCAGTGGTGCATGTATCAAATAGGCTACATACTTCTTAATGCTTGGCCAAATGTTCACAACACAACATCACTCAAGACTAACAACCGAGTAGCAGACCAACAGAGTAAAAACAACTATTCAGGTAGCCTAACTTGGCCCAGTGCCCTGTGACAGGTGCTGTGGTGCTCATTATCTATGTGTACACAACCGCAGTAAAAACAATAAGGTTACTTCAACGGACTATTCATTCGCAGCTAAATCCAGGCAAGCAAAGCAAAACAAACAATATAACCATATCAAAAATCGTACAAATAGCTGCAGTTCAGTTAAGTTCAGAGAGAGAAGTGACAAGAGAGGTGACATTTCACTCACCCTCTATGAAAAGGAAGGTCATTCTCCTGTCTTTCATGGTGGCGAAGTGGTCAATAACCAAATTATCGAATTTCCCACTGGCTTTTAGGTTCTCCACAACAACAGTCAATTGAAGTGTGGCGCTACCAGCTAACCACTCTGTACGGATATAGTTTACCTCATTGAACGTCCGAAACTCCTTTTACCTCTCCAGGCGCAGCTCCAGTTTTGGCGTTGGTCTTTCATCAGATTTAATCTTAAATTGCTGCTGTAGTGGTAGTTTTGTAAAAATATTAATAACTAGAAACTACCAAATCTCCACCCTCCATAACTGCACCAGCTAAAGTTGCTAACAGCTCCCGTTATTTCATCTGAATGACGTTGATCGCATGCTGTGATTTGATTGGAGTGAAGCCAGACAGTGGCCGGCTTCCCTTGGCATCATCCAGACTAATCACAAGTAGGCAAAGCGACTTACAATTGCTATTCATGTCAGAGGTCGCACACCTCTGGAGCAACTAGGGGTTAAGTGTCTTGCTCAGGGACACATTCGTGGATGGGTCACAGTGTGGTCTCTCACACCAAAGGCATGTGCCTTATGCACTGTTCCATCACCACCCCATGACAGTGGCCTCATCTGATTCGTTAATCATTTAATTTTTTTTCACAAAGGGATGCCAACTCCAGGGCTTAAAGTTCTCCGCCACTGAGCTGGAATTCCGGCGCGGGGTGTTTTTATATTCAACAATATACAATATATACTTATGTCCGTGGAAAATATTCTTGCATATTTTTTTTAACAGTCGTGTTATGTGTGTGTAAAGCGCTAGTCCTGAGGACAATCTCTGTCGGTGTACGCACAAAAGAAGGGGACTGGCACTTCCTGACTACGTGGACACTCACTGGCTATTGTAAGCTGTGGACAGGGCACTGAATTTTCTATTGGGTCAATTAAGGTGTCACTCAAAAGGTCAAGATGTACCGTTTTGGGTTTTTTTTGTTCACATGCTAACTGGAGTTAAATGATGTAACAGCAGTCCGTGTGTATTTATTGATATAAAAATACAGGGGGAGAGGGCAGGGTGGCGAGCCCAGCTGACACAACGGAGGATGGAGGTGAGTGACCCTGGAGGGAAGACAGACATACAGGGTTAGACACAAGAACCAAGAACAGGGAAACAGAGATGACGTAGATTACACAAGAGCTTGAGTGATAAAGTGGCATCAGATTTGGCACAACAACGATCAAGCACAGATTGTGTGGAGAACCGGGGTTGATATACAGGCAGAGATGAGGCTGATTGCTGGCAGGTGTGGCAGGCAGAGGAGGTGGCTGATGAGGTGCAGGTGCGGACTGTCAGCTGGGCTTAGGAGCAGAGAGAGAGAGAGAGAGCACACGGGGAGAGGGGAGGAGACACAAAGGCAGGCCAAAACACGAGGGGAAAACAGAATCACAAGAAAAAAGGAGAAAGAAACAGGACACTCACCGTCAGCCGGGCTGCCACCACAACATATGTAGGCTATCTGAAATTAATACACTAACATTAGCCCTAATACCGGACAATAAACAAGGCAACATGTAAATGGGGAGTGCCACCAGATCTGGGCAATAAACCAATAATAATTATCTCAATCTTATTTTCCTCAATAACAATATAACAAATGCTCAGTAAATGTTTAATTTAATTAATTTGAATCATAGACAAATCAGCACTTATTTTTCTGTTTAGATATTTATTTTGTTGAGGAAAAGGGACTGAAAACAGATTTCACCTAATTTTACTCATGCATATTTGACGATAT